ACTATTTCAAAAGTGGTTACGAGTTTCCACAAATGCAGCTAGACCACCATCAAGACAGAAGACACTCCATCAACCAAAAGGAATACAATCATGGTGCCTATTTATACGGAATCTACCGTTAAACACAGGTCTGTTCTTCTACCTTTCCCTTTCCCAGAATGTCATCGAAGTGGATTACCATTTTGAATTTTAAGTCTTGTTAGAAATTGTGACACCACATTTGTTTTTTGTTTTTAAATTATGGTCCTTTTATTTTTTATTTATTTATTCTTTTAATATATTTTTTCTTGATTTTTTTACAGAGAGGAAGAGAGAGGGATAGAGAATTGTTCCCTAGAAACATCGATGAGAGAGAATCATCGAGCTGCCCCTTGCACACTCCCTACTGGGTATGTGCCCGCAACCAAGGTACATGCCCTTGACCGGAATCGAACCCAGAACCTTTCAGTCTGCAGGCTGACGCTCTATCCACTGAGCCAAACTGGTTTCAGCATGACACCACATTTGTAACAGTACATAATTATACAAGCCTCAGAGGCTCTTCTGAGGTTAAGGTTTTTAACATTCCACAGTAGAGGAGCAGGCATTATGACTTTAAAATGGAAAGGTTCCTTTATTATCAGTTATGTAAATTTAGGTAAGATTTCTGCTTAACGTTCTTCATTTATATGGTGAGAGCAATGAGGAGGTAAGAGGTCACAGGAGATTACAGGAATCATAAAATCACAGCTGTACACACTAAGAAAACATACATTAGTGTTGAAAAAGCAAAGGGGCCAAGTCTGGATTTCCTTGGCTCTTGAAATAGAAGCCATCACTCGGCACCCCATGTTTCATCTCCCGGGAGTGCAAACATATGGAAATGATCTCTGCAAACAGCAAAACAAGGAGCCTGGAAGGCTTGGTGCCTTCCCCAGATACAAAAACGTCCAGCCGCTCCTCTTACCAAAGGCACAGAAAAGGTCCAGTTTCACGATATCAGATCTACCTGCTGTGCTGATACTGCCTGTCCGCAGTTCACCTCAACTTTTCCTTAGATTATTGTCCTCTAAACGGCAATAGTTTCCTGCCATGTGAACCAGGAAACCACCTTGGCATGCACAGGAGCCACTCTACTCACAGAAAACCCATGATGGGCTACCACTGTGCAGATGACCAGAAATTTTTTTCAACTGGGAGGAACTCAAAAGGTTTCATAAGGAACACAAGTTGGTCACTAAGTTTGAATGTTAGCAAAATGATATATCATTCTAAAGAAAATTTCAAATTATTTCCATTGCTATTAAATTAAAAAAAATCAGAACCAAATCAGTGTCCTTGAGAAGTCCCTCATGTCACATACCCATGTCCATATTCTTTTTTTTAAATATATTTTATTGATTTTGTACAGAGAGGGAGAGAGAGAGAGAGAGAATTAGAAACATCGATGAGAGAGAGTCATCGATCAGCTGCCTCTTGTACACGCCCTACTGGGGATATGCCCGCAACCAAGGTACATGCCCTTGACCGGAATCGAACCCGGGACCCTTCAGTCCCCAAGCCGACGCTCTATCCATTCAGCCAAACCAGTTTCGGCCATGTCCATATTCTTAATCAAAGAGCACATGCTCAGAAACTTACAACCACATCCATACATTTCTGGAAAACCATTGCTGTCAATCCAGAGAAACAGAACTTTGGGTAATGTTATCCATTGTTTAAGTCCACATTCAAGCAGATCCACAACTACTTAAGATGTTTTAGGTGGATAAGATGATCAACGATGACTTTCCCATTCACTGAGACCCCTAGTCCCCGTAATGAAGATCCTCCACAGTTCCTTATTATCTAGTCTGTCCATGTTTCCCTACCTTCAACACCTTTATTTTGTTAAACACCAAAGCTTTCTCATTAAACCATCACTCTTTCCCCACAAAAACATATACACCAGGAGTGCAAGAACTTTTTTATTTCATGCCTATACATCACAGCCTAGAGTGACTTGGATAGGGAAGAAGTCTGGATTTCTTTGCATCTTCAATGAAATAAAAGCCGTCACTTTTTATCCCACGTTTCGTAACACTTCTTGTGCTAAATTAGGTATGTTTTCCATTTAAACCGCCTGGCCTGAGCAGGATGTTGAAAATTAACATCAAGATCATACTATTGTCCTTGCCAGATTGGTCAGTTGTTTAGAGTGCCATCCCCAAAAGCCAAGGTTGCAGGTTCAGTCCTGGGTCAGGGCACATACTAGAATCAACGAATGAATGCATAAATAAGTGGAAGAACTCACTGGTTTTTCTTTTTCATTTTCTAATTTTGTTTTTTTTCCTCACCCGAGGATATTTTCATCTCTGATTTTCACCCAGATTGGAAGGAGTGGAGGTTAAAGTGTGTGAGAGAAACATCAACATGAGAGAGATACTGATGACGAGCCTCCTGCACTCACCCCACTGCCAAGAATGCAACCCACAACCAAAATATGTGCCCTTGACCAGAATCGAACCGGCAAACATTCAGACCTCAAGCCAACACTCTAACCATTGACCCAAACAAGTCAGGGTACTCTCTCTAAATAAATATTAAAAAACAAAAATAAAAAGAATCCTACTCAGGAATAGCTTCATTACACAAGAAATACTTTTTCTCTTGCTAGGCTTGTGTTGAGAATATTCCTAAATTTATAAACCTCAGGTGACTCATAAAGGAGACAAGTGTCATATATTTTGTTAAGGAGTATGTGATTTTATATATATTTCACTAAGGTGCTTTTTGGAAATGTGTCCAGAACAGGATAGTAAATATTTCAGTTTTTAGATAAGAAAGGCAAAAGCTGTTCCAGACACCTGGTTGCTGGCTTTGCACTCCCTGCCAGCCCTAGATATACCTTGTTGAAAACAAAGATCACACATGTCCATCATCACACAAAGCTACGCCATGACCATGATGAATCAGGACAAAGGCAAAGGCATTCATGTCTGTATACCTGATGAAAGAGAAGGAGCTTCCAAATAATAAAAATAACAAAAACTTCCCTTTTCTCACCAGTATGATTTGTGTAATATGCATCAATGTAGTATGAATTGCAGATGTGACTTTGTTCATGTTTGGCTGGCGGAAACTTAAAAAAAAAAAAAAAAGCCCTGCATGACTGAAATTTTTAATATTGTGAATAACAAAGAAGTCTAATGCCAAAAATGATAAGTATAAAAAAATTAAAAATGTATTTTGAGGAAAAGAATTTGTACACATATAATTTTGATTCAAAATGTACACTGAGAGGCCAGATTATTATGATCTCTGAATGCATAATAATCTGGCTACTCAGTGTATATCCTATATAATCAAAGGCTAATATGCAAATTGTCCCCTCGACCAGGAGTTCGACCAGCAGGGAGGCAGGCCAACTGCCCATGACCCCTTCCTCAGGCTGGCCAGACACCCACCCATGCACAAATTTTAATCCTATCTGATAAGAGTAATATGCAAATTAACCACCACTCCACCACACCAAGCCACGCCCACCAATCAAGAGTGATTATGCAAATTAACCCAAGCAAGATGGCTGTGGCCCTGGAGAAAGCAGGAGGGAAGCTTGGGTTTCCCCAGCAATAGAGGAAGCCACGCTTTCTGCACACCCTGGCTGGCCCAGGCCTCCACTTAAGGCTACAAACTTTCAATTATAGAAGATAAATCCTAATAAAAATGGTGGCAGCCACGGAGCTGTAGAGAGCAGGCTAGGGTTTCCCCTGGCAACAGAAGAAGCCAAGCTTTCAACCTGCCTTGGCTGGCCCAGGCCTCCACTCCAGACTACAAAGTTTCAATTATAGAAGGTGAATAAATTCCAACAGAAATGGCTGATGCCATGGAGTGAGCAGAAGGCTTGGCTCTGCTCCAGGCTACAAAATTTCAATTATAAAAGATAAATATATCCCAGATACCAGGGCCTCCACTTGGGTTGCTGGGGGGCATGTCTAGCCTGCAAACCACAACAGGCTCCTACCCATGTACCAGGCCTCTATCCTATCTAATAAAATAGTAATATGCAGATTGACCATCACTCCAAAACACAAGATCAAGACAGCTGCCCCATGTGGTCAAAGATCCTGCCCTCATGTGGACACAAGATGGCCACCACAAGATGGCCAGCAGGGTAGAGCAGTTTGGAGGGACCAGACCTGCAAGAGAGGGAAGTTGGGGATAAACAGGCTGGCAGGGGAGCAGTTAAACATCAATCAGGCTGGCAGGGAGCGGATAGGGTTATGATCAGGCTGGCAGGCTTAAGTGGTTAGGGGCAATCAGGAAGGCAGGCAGATGAGCAGTTGGGAGCCAGTAGTCCTGGATTATGAGAGGGATCCCAGATTGGGAGAGAGTGAGGCTGGGCTAAGAAACACCCCATACCTGAATTTTGTGCACAGGGCCTCTAATTTATATATATATATATATATATATATATATATATATATATATATATATATATATATGTGTGTGTGTGTGTGTGTGTGTGTGTGTGTGTGTGTGTGTGTGTGTTATATTCACCGAGTGACCAGATTATTATGCATTCAGAGATCATAATAATCTGGCCACTCAGTGTATGATGATTAAAAGGACAAAATTACAAATTAATCTGAAATAACGTAATTACAAAAATACTTAAATATTTCCTTAGGAAATAAAAACCACGATAATAGTTCACCACATAAGAGTACTTAGAAGCCCTAACAGTTTGGCTCAGTGGATAGAGCGTCAGCCTGAGGACTGAAGGGTCCCAGGTTTGATTCCAGTCAAGGGCATGTACCTTGGTTGTGGGCACATCCCCAGTAGGGAGTGTGCAGTAGGGAGCTGAATTGATGTTTCTCTTTCATCAATGTTTCTCTCTCTCTCTCTCTCTCTCTCTCTCTCTCTCTCTCTCTCTCTCTCTCTCTCCCCCTTCCTCTCCATAAAAAAATCAATAAAATATGCTAAAAATAAATAAAAATGATTTGCTTATATAAAAAAAAAGATTACTTAGGAAAAGTTAATACTTTCTTAAAACGTATAGAAGTGTTTATTATGGGAAAATGCACATAATTTTAATCACACTCACATTCACATACACGGAATTTTAATCACATATACTTTAATCACATACACTTAAAATGCACATAATTTTAATCACCTTTACAAGGTAACTGAAAACATTGAAAGTCTCAAATCTGAGTGACAGCAATGATGCAGAGTCTGCCTGAAATGAGAAAATTGTGAACAAATGTAAAGCTTACACCCAACCATCAGTAGAAGTAAAGCAGTGGCTGACGGTTTTGAGGATTTTCTTGGCTGTCAGGGCAAAGATTGAGAAAAACAAACTAAAATATTCTCTTCTTAATGTAAACTTCATAGCACAATTCCCAGCCAAAGGAAACACAAAAATCAAACGTGAAAATAATTCGCATGGGCCTCTAGAAAGTACAAATATATGGCAAATACTTATAAACTACAATAAAAGTGATTGTCAAGTGCAATTGAAAAATTAAAAAAAAATACATATAGGTGTAGGTAGGGCCTATTCATTCAATACCTGACAGGGCACAGTACTGGGTAGCTGGGTTGATCCCTGGTCAGGCACATGGGAAGACAACCCATCTATTTCCCCTCTCACATGGATGTTTCTCTCTACTCCTCTTTCTTCCTTCCTCATTCCAAAAAAAAAAAAAAAAAAATAAAAAAAAACAATTTTAAAAAACAAAAAAGAATGAGTATTGATAATGAACAAATATGTCAAAAAATTTATAGAACTCCTTTAACGCTGTCAGTTTTGGGGAGTACATTAGTTAATTTGCAACAGGCTTACATGTACCAGTTAGTTACACTAATAGGATTTCCTTTCAGTGCAGTTTTCAAGCTCCTTTGAAAGTATGTTAAAAATTTTAAGTTTGTTTTAGTTGTGAATTATACAATGTACATTATCACATGGTATTGTAGGGATATGAGGCAACAGGAAGGTTTCATACATTTGTAGGGATATGAGGCAACAGGAAAGTTTCATACATTTTTACATTCAATACAATTCTTCACTTTGGATTTCTCCATGACCTTTTCAAGGAAGAGGTACAGTCAAAGGCTTCCCCAACTTCTCTAATATATATACACTATTTCTCCAGGTGCATTTCCACATGTTCAAGAAAGGCTCTCCTACATTCTATATATTCATACACTTATTGTTGGGTGTGAGTCCTTTCATGATTTTGTAAAGAACCAGGATGGCCAAAGGCTCTTCTACCATCTTTACATGACAGGGCTTCTCTTCAGTGAGTTCTTTCATCCTTTACAATAAACTAGAAGAAATGAATGATTTCTAACACTCTTAATATTTTAGGGTCCATCCCCAATATGGATAATCAAAATGATGGCACAGCTGAGAGATAAATGAAGGCACTCCCCTATTCTCCACATTAACAGTTTATCAATAGGATTTGTTTTCACACATCTATTAAAAATACTTTAGAAGCTGAAGGTTTAACACATTCCTTGCATTTCTATGGTTTCTCTCCACTATGAGAGTTTTTGTGAATTGAAAGGATCTGGGAAGATTATAGGCTTTCTCACATTGCTTGCATTCATAGGGTTTCTCCTCAGTATACATTTCAGGATATCTAAGAGAAAAGGGATAACAAAAAGGTTTACCTCATTACTTATTCATGAGGCTTCTTTCATGAATAAAGGCTAGTTCTTTTATATCTTTGAAGATGTGAGGTGCAACAGAAGATTTTCATGTCTTTGAAAATTTGTGAGCAAACTGAAGGTTTTATCCACATTGCTTACGTTCATAGGGTTTTTCCTTATGAGTTCTTTCATGACTTTCGAGGGAATGTGTATAAGAGAAAGCTTCCCCACATTGCTTATTTTCATAGGGTTTTTCCCCAGTAAGAGTTCTTTCATGATGTTAGAGAGAAAACAGATAATAGATAAGGTTATCACAATGCTTATATTCATTAGCATTTTATCCCAGATGAGTTCTTTCATGACGACGAAGAGAACTTAGATGAGAGAAATCTTTACCACAATGCTTACATTCATAGGGTCTTTCCCCAGTATGCATTCTTTCATGAACTCTAAGGAAACAGGGGTAAACGAAAGTTTTACCACATTCCTTACATTCATGAAGCTTCTTTTTTTCATGACATCCTTTGTGTGTTACAAGAGAGCTGTTATAACAGAAGGTTTTCCCACATTGCTTACATTCATAGGGTTTCTCCCCAGTATGCATCCTTTCATGATTTCTAAGAAAAGTGGAATCTCTGAAAGCTTTCCCACATTGCTTACATTTATAGGGCTTTTCCTTATTATGAGTTCTTTCGTGATATTGGAGGGAATTTGGATAAGAGAAAGCTTTACCACAATGGTTACATTTATAGGGTTTTTCCCCAGTATGCATTCTTTCATGATTTCTAAGATATATAGAATAGCTGAAAGCTTTCCCACATTGCTTACATTCATATTGTTTCCCCACAATATGCATTTTTTCATGATTTTTAAGAGATTTGGGAAAACTAAAAGTCTTACCACATTGCTTACATTCATAGGGTTTTTCCTTATTATGAGTTCTTTCATGACTTTGGAGGGAATTTGTATAAAAGAAAGCTTTGCCACATTGCTTACATTCATAGGGTTTTACCCCAGTATGAGTTCTTTCATGACGAACTAGGGAAGTACGATGAAAGAAATCTTTACCACATTCCTTACATTCATGAGGCTTCTTTACTTCATGATTTCTTTTATGTGTTGCAAGAGAACTGGGAGAACCAAAGGCTTTCTGACATTGCTTATATTCATAGGATTTTTCCCCAATATGCATTCTTTCGTGGTTTTTAAGATATGTAGAATATCTGTAAGCTTTCCCACATTGCTTACATTCATACGGTTTTCCCATAATATGAATTCTTTCATGATTTCTAAGAGATCTGGAAAAACTAAAAGTCTTACCACATTGCTTACATTCATAAGGTTTCTCCACAATATGATTACTATTTTTTTCATGATTTCTAAGAGATATGGAATATCTGAAAGCTTTCCCACATTGCTTACACTCATAGGGTTTCTCCCCAGTATGCATCCTTTCATGATTTCTAAGAAAAGTGAAATGTCTGAAAGCTTTCCCACATTGCTTACATCCGTATGGTTTCCCCACAATATGCATTCTTTCATGATTTCTAAGAGACTTGGAAAGACGAAAAGTCTTACCACATTGCTTACATTCATAAGGTTTCCGCACAGTATGAATTTTTTCATGATTTCTAAGAGATATGGAATATTTGAAAGCTTTCCCACATTGCTTACACTCATACAGTTTCTCCACAATATGTGTTCTTTCATGATTGCTAAGAGATTTGGAACAACTAAAAGTCTTACCACATTGCTTACATTCATAGGGTTTTCCCTTATTATGAGTTCTTTCATGACTTTGGAGGGAACGTGTATAAAAGAAAGCTTTCCCACATTGCTTACATCCATAAGGTTTTACACCAGTATGAGTTTTTACATGACGATATAGGGAAGTTCGATAAAAGAAATCTTTACCACATTGCTTACATTCATAGGTTTTTTCCCCACTATGAGTTTTTTCATGAATTTTAAGGTAACAGTGATAAAGGTAAGTTTTACCACATTCCTTACACTCATGAGGCTTCTTTTCATCATGACTTATTTTATGATTTGCAAGAGAGCTGCTGGAATGGAAGGCTTTCCCACAATGCTTATGAGTTCTTTCATGACTTTGGAGAGAAGATTGATAATGGAAGCTTTTACCACAATGCTTGCATTCATAACTTTTTACCCTGGTATGAGTTTTTTCATGATTTCTAAGGGAATAGGGATAATGGAATGTTTTACCACATTCCTTACATTCATGAGGCTTCTTTCCCACATGACTTCTTTTATGTTTTTCAAGAGAGCTGAGCGAACTGAAGATATTCCCGCATTCATAAGGTTTCTCAGTAGTGTGTGGTCTTTCTTGATTACTAAGAGAAGTGGAACTGAAAGCTTTTCCAGATTCTTTACATTGATAGGTCTTTTCCGCAGTGTGCATTCTTTCATTTTCTTCAGAGTACTTGGGAGAACGGAAAGGTTTACCATATTGCTTACTTTGATATGGTTTCTTTCCACTATGAGTGTTTTTGCGAAGTTTAAAGTAAATGAGACGACTAAAGTCTTTCCCATATTGCTCACATTCATACGGTTTCCCTGCAATATGCATTCTTTCATGATTTCTAAGAGATTTGGAAAAACTAAAAGTCTTACCACATTGCTTACACTTATAAGGTTTCTCCACAGTATGATTATGATTTTTTTCATGATTTCTAAGAGATATGGAATATCTGAAGGCTTTCCCACATTGCTTACATTCATAGGGTTTTACCCCAGTATGAGTTCTTTCATGACTTTGGAGAGAAGATTGATAATAGAAGCCTTTACCACAATGCTTACATTCATAACTTTTTACCCCAGTATGAGTTTTTTTATGATTTCTAAGGGAATAGGGATAATGGAATGTTTTACCACATTCCTTACATTCATGAGGCTTCTTTCCCACATGACTTCTTTTATGTTTTCCAAGAGAGCTGAGCGAACTGAAGACATTCCCACATTCATAAGGTTTCTCAGCAGTGTGTGTTCTTTCTTGATTACTAAGAGAAGTGGAACTGAAAGTTTTTCCAGATTCCTTACATTGATAGGTCTTTTCCGCAGTGTGTGTTCTTTCATTTTCTCCAGAGTACTTGGGAGAATGGGAAGTTTTGCCATGTTGATTACTTTGATATGGTTTCTTTCCACTATGAGTGTTTTTGCAAAGTTTAAAGTAAATGAGACGACTAAAGTCTTTCCCATATTGCTCACATTCATATGGTTTCCCCGCAATATGCATTCTTTCATGATTTCTAAGGGAAGTTGAATATTTGAGAGTTTTCCCACTAGGGCTGCCTTCATGGATTTGAATATGTTGGTGATGCCTAAAAGCTTCCTCAGGTTCTTTACATTTATAAGGGCTTTCTTCATATTCTTGACACAGGTATAGTTTGGCTCCATTGTGAGAGCTTAGGTAGTTATTCAAGGATAAATAATGTATGAATAGTTGCCTACACAACCTGCATTTAGGTTGTTTTACTTCAGTAGGAGTTACCTTGTTTTCATTATGATTTGGAGTCTGGCTGAAGTTTTCTCTGCATTGACTACCATCCTTTCTTGTACAGAGTCTCTCTACCATATGACTGCTGTAAAAATCAGAAGCATATTATTACTACTCTGTGAATGATTTAATATTATGACAATGACATTTTTACCATTTCCAAAAAAAAAGGGATGGAGTTTCAGGACATTCCATATTTAAAAGTGGATATCGTAAAACTTCTGATTTAGGCTGGATCATAGATATTATGAAAACATTTATATTCATTAATGGTATTTCTGTATATTGTTTCCAAGCATAATTATTTTTTATACACTACATCTCTAGGTCATAGCTCAGAAAAAAACATTTTGATGAGATTATTCTAAAAATCAATACATTTAAAACTGGGCTGATACAATTGGATTATCTGTTTTTAAGATTATTTTGTGAACCAGGCCAATTTGGCTCAGTGGTTCAGGATGAACCCACCCACCAGGGGCTCACTGGTACAATTCTCTGAAAAGGGAACATGGCCAGACTGCAGATTTATTAATTGCAATGCAGGACATGTAGGAGGCAGTCTATTGGTTTTTCTATCTCTACCTCCATATAAATATTTTTGAACCACCTGCGAGACACAGTGGTTGAACACTGACCAATGAACCAGGTGGCCATAGTCCAATTTCTGGTCAGGGCATATTCCCAGTTTCTGGATATGAATCCAAATGTGGGATATGCAGGAGGCAGCCATCAATAATTTTCTCTCATCATTGATGTTTATTTCTCATTCTCCCTCTTCCTACCTCCCTGAAATAAATTTTAAAAATATTAAATATATAAATAAAATATATAAAAACCTACTTGAATAAAACACAAAGATGCTGTTAATGCTTTGCCACGTCAATGTGACTCACCTAAGATTCCTCCGGTGATTTTCATACTGATCTTCACTGTCATGGTCGTCACATTGTTCTTCTAAAATACATGCTAGAAAAAGCATTATAAACTACTAAAGAATATAAAGAATGGTAAGATTTTAGTGACACAACGAGCTGTGATGATTCCTAGTTTAATTACCAATGTACTCCCTTTCCATATTTCAGTTCTTGAAACAGCATTAATGAGCAAGCAACACTAGTTTTCTAACTGACTAATTAAGTAACAAATTGTTTCAGGCTAGAGTTGCTCTGTGGTTGACTGTCAACCTATGAACCCATATGAGCCGGAAGGTCACAGGTCAATTCCCAGTAGGACCAGCTTGCCAGGTAGATCCCCAGTGTTAGGCAGGCAGGAGGTACCCAATCAGTGATTCTCTTTCATCATTGATGTTTTTTGCTCTCACTCTCTCCTTCTCCTTCCTCTCTAAAATCAATATATTAAAAAAAGAAAAGAAATTTTGATACCTACCTACTGATGCCAGGTTCCAGAAGGCTTCCAGCATCACATCTGTGTAGATTTTCTTCTGGGTGGGATCCAGGAAAGCCCACTCCTCCGTGGTGAACTCCACATTAACATCCTCAAAGGTCACCAAGTCCTAAAACATCCCACATATGCATATAGGAGAATGGGTAAGATAGATGGAACTGGAGACTTATTCATAATTCATAAGAAGTTCACATAGGACACGTGGTCCCCAACACTCAGTCTATGACTTGATTATAGTAAGACTATTATTAATTTGCAAAACTCACTGCCTGAAGACCACATGTAACTTATTGCTATGATTTTACTGTGATCACTTCAAGTCTTCATTGCTCTCTAATGTCAGAATAAAGAGCACCTTAAACAACTTCAATATTAATACATTAAAATACTCCTATTTTAAGTCCATCAATTCCTTGTGAGAAAACTCATATCCATTTTAAACACCCTTTGATGCAGCAATTCATGAAGCATACTGTCATATCTGCATAAAGTTTTAATGACTATGAATACAATAAATGTCTTGTAGCTTTCTCTTCTATTCTCATCACCAAATGGGAAGGCCAGACGGTATGTGGAAATTCAAATGGGAACAAAATGTACTTGGCCATATTGTCATGAAGTACTCAAGATTATTAGAAGTAGTCAGATACATCTGAATGAATGAAAATATTCTGTGGAGGAGTATGAACAATCAATTGTTTCTATATTATTTGTTAGTAACTCAAATTTGACCTTTTGCTTCTTCTCATTTCATGGAAATAGTTATAGTTAGAGGTCAGGCATGAGCAAGACAGGGAAACTTAGCCCTCTACAAAAGTCCTCTCCTCATGAGCCTGAGGGTTACCTCATACTGATTTTTAGGACAATGGACACATATATTGAAATCATAAGGTCACACTCAAAGAAGTCTTTCTGGAACAATTGTGACACTCTAACCAGGACCTGGACCTTGAGAAACAATTTAAGACTTGGCATGTCCAAGGGCCTTTATTGAGATCTGTAATATTTTAATGTTGGGATTAGTGTCACCTGAAACAAATATAAAATTAAATTAAATGTAAACTATAATTGGAATGTAAACTGTAATTGGAAGTACACAGTATATGATGTTTACTGAGAGGAAAAATTAATATAATTCAAATGTCCATAGTACCCAAAACAATCTACAGCTTCAATGCAACATGTATCAATGATACCCATGATGAAACTCACATAACTAGAACAAATATTCAAAAATTTTACATAAACCTTAGAACACCCTGAATAGCAACATCAATCTTGAGAAGAAAGAACAAATGTGGATGAATCACATTACCTAATATGCAATTGTACTACAAGGCCATAGTAATTAAAACAGCATGGTCCTGGCCTAAAAATAGCATATAAATCAGTGGAACAGAACAGAGAGCCTAGATGTAAACCCAAGCCTTTATGGACACAGAATATTTGACAAAGGAGGCAAAAAAAAAACACACAATAAAGTAAAGGTAGTATCCTGTATAATAAAAGGCTAAGATGGACATTGTTCCTGAGAGTTTTGATTGCCTGGTAGTTCCACAGCTCACTATGACGTGCGCTGACCACCAGTGGGCGGTTCAAAACATGGCAGGTTTCAGCGAGGTGGCACTAAGTAGTGGGTGGCAGGGGAGATATAGTTGGTCTCAATGGGCCCTGATGAGAGCGGGACTGCTATGTGATGGTGAAGTAGAGGAGCGGGCGGCACCAGGGCAAGGTGGATGCTAGTGGGAGCTCCGAAAACTCCACAGGTCGTCCCACAGATGGGACTGGTCGGTAATGGTAGAAGTCGATGTTGGTGAGTGAATGGCACCAGGCCAAAGTGGCTGGGAGAAGGGCCCCCTGAGGGCCCCACTGGTTGCACCACAGATGGCAATAATATATAACTGCTTAAACAGTTGTGAAAAGCAAAGGGTGCCTCTGTTACAAGGAAACAATTAAAGGACTTTTTGCAAACTATTATAACTCACTAGAGGCCCAGTGCACAAAATTTGTGCACTGGGGATGAGGGGGAGGTGTCCCTTAGCTCAGTTTGCACCCTCTCCAATCTGGGACCCCTCGAGGGATGTCCGACTGCCTGTTAGATGGGATTGGGCCTAAACGGGCAGTCGGACATCCCTCTCACAATCCAGGACTGATGGCTCCCAACTGCTCGCCTGCCTGCCTTCCTGATTGCCCCTAACCACTTCTGCCTGCCAACCTGATCACCCCCTAATCACTCCCATGCCAGCCTGAATGATGCCTAACTGCTCCCCTGCCAGCCTGTTTGCTCCTAACTGCTCTCCCCTGCAGGTCTGGGTTCCCCCAACTGCCCTCCCTTGCAGGCCCAGTCACCCCCAACTTCCCTCCTTTGCTGGCCTGGTCACTCCTAACTGCCCTCCCCTGCAGGCTTGATCACCCCCAACTGCCCTTTCTTGCAGGCCTGGTCCCTCCCTACTGCCCTCCCCTGATGGCCATCTTGTGGTGGCCACCTTGTGTCCACATAGGGGCAGGATCTTTGACCACATGGGGGCAGCCATCTTGTGTGTTGGAGTGATGGTCAATCTGCATATTACTCTTTTATTAGATACGATACACCTTTGTTCCGATGCTGGAACATTAGACCTTGATCTCTAGGAACAAGAAGGTAGGAATCTAAAGAGAAATCAGGCCCAGGGAAAACAAGTGCCTTTGTCATCTTTAATTTCGTGGGATCTTGCTCGAGCTGCACTATGTCCACTTCATATTGTGGATCAAAAGCCTACGGAACACCAGGAGGGTTTGTCCCTGCCCCCTCCTCCTGAAGTAGAGCCTGTAAAGCCGGTGATATGGAAGGCCCCCGATCCTCGGCCTCCAGTGTGGGAAGGTTCATCAACTAAGTCCTCAGCTATGGGATCATGTTAGGCAACCTATGTTAGAAGGAGAGCTTTGTTGAAACCGGTTTGGCTCAGTGGATAGAGCGTCGGTCTGTGAACTGAAAGGTCCCAGGTTCGATTCCGGTCAAGGGCATGTACGTTGGCTGCGGGCACATCCCCGGTAGAGGGTGTGCAGGAGGCAGCTGGTAGATGTTTCTCTCTCATTGACATTTCTAGCGCTCTATCCTCTCCCTTCCTCTCTGTGGAAAATCAATAAAATTAAAAATTTTTAAATTTTTTAAAAAAGGAGAGCTTTTGGCGTGCCCATTTATGCAGGATGCAATGTAATTGGATATATAAATCAATCTCCTTTAATACCTTTAAAGAAATAGGGGAAAGTATGAGAGAAAATGGGGCAAATAGTCCATTTACAAAAGGTCTCCTTCATACCTTGTCTGAAAACTACCATAAGATGCCTTGAGACTGGCAGATTTTGGTCCAAAGAACTCTGGACCACAGTCAATATTTAACGTGAGAGCAGAATGTGATGATTATCTGTGAACAACAGGCTGTTTGTGGGTGTTTCCTGGCGACCCCACTTGGGAGCCCTCTGGGCTGCATTCTGGTTCTAAATCCCGGGCACTGTAACACATCGGAAAGATCCATGAAAAGGAATCCGATTCATTACGTCTTGTCTGTGGGTTATGGGCACCTGTAAAAACTGTCCATAGAGTGTCTCTGTCTTGGTTGTTTGGTTTAATTGTTTAAGGGTGGGGCATATTTACTTTGCTAGAGGCCCCAGGTACCTGTGGTAGGCTGAACACGTGGCAGGGATGGCAGGAACTTCCCAGCAACTGCCAAGAATTCTTATCTTGGGTACTCTTCCTGCTTTCCCTGTAAGTCATCAGTCATCATCTAGTGATAGTCTGTAATGTAACTTGGTTACTGATTTTCTTTGCTTGCTTTATTTTTTGGGAACTTGATGTAGGGAGCGGTTATAGGATTAAGCCTCACATTGACCTGTTGGCAAAGCCAAAACAAGTCCCAGCTTAGAGGGCACGGCCCTCTTAGCATAATTAAGCTTGACCTTATGACAGCCCCTAGATCAGTGGTTTTCAACCTTCCTAATGCCACGACCTTTTAATACAGTGCCTCATGTTGTGGTGACCCCCAACTATTAAATTATTTTCGTTGCTACTTCATAACTGTAATTTTGCTACTGTTATTCATTGTAATGTAAATATCTCATATGCAGGATGTCTTAAACCTCTGTGAAAGGGTCATTCGACCCCCAAAGGGGTCGCAACCCACAGGTTGAGAACTGCTGCTCCAGCTCAGTGGTCGGCAAACCTCGGCTCGCAAGCCACATGCGGCTCTTTGTGCCCGCAACCAACGTACATGCCCTTGACCGGAATCGAACCTGGGACCTTTCAGTCCGCAGATCGACTCTCTACCACTGAGCCAAACCGGCTTTAGCTGACATAGATTTTAAAATGAAGGCCATCACAACAGAAACAAAGGGATTGATCCAACAAGGGAATATAACTCTGGTCAACATATATGCACCCAAATACCAGTACATAACTTCTAGAAAACTTGAATGGAGAGAATGACAATACAATCATAGAACAAGACTTCAACACCCCACTCACTTCACTGGATAGATCTTCCAGACAGACACTTAACAAGGAGACAGTGACTCTAAAGGACACATTGGATCAGACAGATTTAATTGACATTTATAAAACATTTCACCCCAAAGGGAAAATATATTCTTCTCAAGTGTGCACAGCTCATCCACAAAAAAAGATCACATTAGGACACAAAACATGTCTCCAAAATATCAGGAAGATTGAAATCATATCAAGCATCTTCTCAGATCACAGTGGAATGAAATTAGAAATCAACTACAGAAAAAATGCCAAAAAAATTCAAACACATGGAGGCTAAAGAGCATAATATTAACCTGTTAACAGAGCGGGACCTATAAATACGTCAAACAAAAACAATATCGGGAACGGGTAGGACGTATGAATACGTCCTTGAAATATATGTTGTGCCCCGAGAGGGACGGTATATATTTTTTGTAATCTTTTTTTTTTTTTTAATATTTTATTGAGTTTTTACAGAGAGGAAGGAAAGGGGAGGGATAGAGAGTTAGAAATATCGATGAGATGAGAGAGAAACATCGATCAGCTGCCTCTTGCACACCCCCCACTGGGGATGTGCCGGCAACCAAGGTACATGCCCTTGACCGGAA